CTGTCATTTATATTTAAAAATACTGAAATAACATGACAAAAGGGTGACTTCATTTTTTCCCTAATAGAAAAATGGCTGTTATAAAATAATCTTAGAAGTTAGAATTGCATACTGATCATTAAAGCATTCAAAAATCACCTTTATGAGTACAATTAAGATTGTTAGCCAAATGTATAATGGAATCCATCTTGTCAGAGGGCATACAGTATGAATATGTTCACCAAAGTAGATGTGCTACAAGAGAAAGTGGGGTAAGCAAGATCAGTCTAAATATTTGCCAGCAAGCTCTGGCAGAGAGACAGCAAACCTGAAGGTTTTTTCTCAGCATTTAAAACAGCAAGAAGTGAGATTTTTTTCTCCTATGAAATGTAATTTAGCAGCCCAGACTTGCTTTCAGGCTTTCACAGGTAAGTGAAATGCCATGCAGGAGTATGTAAATATTGAAGCAGCCTTTCCTTTGTTGAGTAAAATCCTGTTTGTACTGTGTGGATTTAGTTATGGTCTTGAGTCTTTAGATTAAAATGGCAAAACACTGTAGTAAGAAAGCTAACATTTTGTCAAATGTATGGATCAGTACTACAGAAAATTTGTTCTTACTAAAAAGTAAGAGTAGGAAAGATTTTTGTCTTGTGTGTTGAGCAATAGCAATATGTTTTCCCTGGATAATTCAGCCTCTTTTTCTCTGGCTTTTTATTTCTTTACACAAGATGTTAATATAAAAACCAACTTTTTAATTTTTTTTTTTTTTAGTCACAGAAATCTATAGAAAATCAGTAAAAGGAAAGGTTCTACTCAGCTGAAATCCTTAGTCACTCCCATGTGAGGGAGAAGCTGAGGATTTGTAGTCCATGTGCTGGAACAATTTATACAGTTTATCCACTAACTGTTTAATATAAAATGCATAGACTATCTTGAGCCGCAGAGACAGAACTTCTTTCCCAGAAAAGCAATTTAACTACTAAATTAGAGTATTATTTCTTGTTCACTCTTTCTGAAGCTTGAATATTTTGTTGCACAGATTCAACAGGAAATGGAGAAAGCATCCATCCTTCCCCAGCAGTCTAGTAGCTAATAGCTTGTGATTAGACTTCTTTATGGAATAAGAAAGATCTGAGTTTCAATCCATTTAGAAAAGGAAATTGAACTCATGTCTGCTATTTCTCAGGTGACCAATTTAGCCACTTGAATATTTTAAAATGTTAGGCAGCACTGTATTTTCTCTGGCCAGATTCTCAAAGAAAATTGCAGTTGCACCTGATCTTGTAACTGTGCTAGAAGTGCCCAGCATAAATATAGCTATTAAATCCTAGTGTTTGGTAGACGAACAACTTCTTTTTGGGTTATGTTCGTGTTTAGACATGATTTAGATGTGGATTTATTTTTTTTTTTTAAATTTAGGTTAGAATCATGACCAGGAGAATAACTCTTTACACCTCAAGGAATCTATATTTACAAGGTGACCCTTGTGAACATAGGGTAACAAGGTAGATTTTGGGGAAAGCTGTTTTAAGCTTTGATTTCAAGTGCCTCACTCCTAATTGTGGTGTGATTTCAATGACCAAGGGCAACTCAACACTGCAAAGTGCAGTGATCCATGTGTCCAGCTCTGGGCCCCCCCCACAAGAAGGATGTGGACCTGTTACAGCAAGTCCAGAGGAGGTCACAAAGATAATCAGAGGATTGGAGCACCACTCCTATGAAGACAGGCTGAGAGAGTTGGAATTGTCCAGCCTGAGAAGTAAACGCTTTGGGAGAAACTTGTAAGACCTTTTGGTATCTAAAGGGGCTACAGGAGAGCTGGAGAGGAACTTTTTGAAAGGGCATGGAGTGATAGAACAAGGGGTAATGACTCCAAACCCAGAGAGAGTAGATTTAGATTAGATGTTAGAAAGAAATTCTTTATTGTGAGGGTTGTGAGACACTGGCACATGTTGCCCAGATAAGCTGTGGGTGCCGATCTCTGGGAGGCCAGGTTGAATGGGGCTTTGATCCAAAGCTTCTCCAGTGGAATGTGTCTCAGCCCATATCACGGGGTTTGGAACCAGATGATCTTTAAGGTCCCTTCTAACCCAAACCATTCTGTGATTCTATGAATTAACAATTCACTCTATGAGCATGAAGGCTGTGCACATGTGTGGCTGCAGCAGCTCAAGTCTGGAAGCAGTACAGCTGCGTTTCTGCAGTGCTACATGGAAGCCCACCATCTTTGCTGGTAGGTCACAGCACTACATGAATGAGGTTCTACCTGTATCGTTTCCATCCAGTCACATCATAGGGAGATTCACTTGCCTAGAAAAGACAGGCTTCTAGTACCATTTTAGACTCCCAGATATCCCTTTCTCCAGCTACTCAGGAAGTGCTGCATTCTATTTGCCTGCTTTTTCCAGTATCTCAGATATCCTACAATGTATGGCAATTCTACTACCTTTCAAAGGTAGTAGTTACAGAATATTACTACATTTGAGTTTCAGTACAAAATCACTCTCCAGGTCCCACTGCTTGGTGTTTTCCAGCACTTCCAGATGTCAGATTCGCTTCTGTTCTTGTCTCTAACCCCACGGCAAAACCATGTCTGTACAGTCTGCTGGAGGTGGTTCTAGAAATATCTCTTTACAAGTTTGATCTTGATAGGTGTTTAATATTCTCAGCTTTCATTTAAGACAATAAGATTTGCAGGTGTGCTTTGCAGGACTGAGTCTTATATGAGAAATTACCAGTTTATGTGATCGGGTAGCGGACTGTTCATTGTTCCTTGTGCTCCCATGGAGAACACGTGAATCATATCTCTGATCTATGTAAAGAAATATTGCCTCATTTACAAACAATTTGCCTTCGGGATAACATGGAAATAAATCAGGGGAAGCTACCACAATATCCTTTTGTGGCTTGTATATGACTAGAATTTAAAATGCAATTCTTTTCATTGCAAGACTGACTTGAAAATAAAATATATTGAATGTTTTATATTCTTGCAAATAAAAAGTGGCTTTATTTAGGACCAAAAGAGTGTTTCTAGCTCTGCTTTCATTCCATTTCTAATCTGTTCAGAAACAAGCAATGTTCTTCCAAAACAGCAATCTGCTCATTTGCTTGGCGAGAGCGAGCTTTGAAAGTGCCATTTCCACATTGCTGTGCAGCTGTGTGCAGAGTGTATCACTGTCAAAAAATGTGTATCTATCCACTGTTCGGTATGCAATGCTTAGACAAAAAAGTCTCTTGTTCTGCTCATCATGATGTTCCTCTCTGTAACTTGGTTTTTCCACTTGTTAAATGAGGCCAGTCACACACAGGTACAACTATTCAAGAGATTCTGTTTGAAGATCACTGGGGAAAGACATCACTTGTGAGGCTGAATTTTTAGTCTGACTCCTTTGATGTAAATTTTATCATCTAGGGAAACAGCTTTCAGAAAGAAGTTACTTTTAGCCTCTGGTGACCTGAAATAAACCTGCCTAATAAATGGAGGTAAAAAACATATTTATCCAATTACTAAATTCACTTATCATCACACACATAATATACTTAATAATTTATAATTAAAAGAAATTGTGCCAAATTGTTGGATTAAATTAATATCTTTATTGAAAGTTAAATTTCTTGCCTTGGTTTGAGATATTTCTTCTTTTCTATAGTTTTGGATGTAAGTAAGCTATATCATGAGGCGTATTGGTCAAGCTAATCTTTTTGTGGACAAGGCAAATTCAAATTCAAATATAAAATTCAAATCCCATTGATGTGAAACATCTTTTTCTCAGGGAACACAAAAGAATTTCTTAACCGTAATTATGAATTTTGGTGATTTAATGCTTGCTTACCTAATGAAACTGAATTCTCAGGTTAAATATGTCCATCAGTTTCAGAAAAAAACAGCATATATGGATGGCATACATGGCATCCCAAGTGGATGACATAGTGGTAAGCTTGTGTAGGGAATTTCTCTGACATGTTGGGCCAGTTCTCTTGCATAACATCAGCTGTGGTCTCTAAACACATCCAAACAATTGGAAAAGTTATGTTTATGGATAACTGTGAGGATAAGCATATTTAATTTTTTTTTATCAAGGTTGATTTCTTCAAAACAAAACAGGTTGCCACAGTACAGACATAAGAACATAGTTCCTTTCCCTCAGTCCCAGGTCTGCTGTTTTGGAGGCAGACCTAGGGCACTCTCTGTACTGACTCCGTTCGAGGCTTCCCAACAGCAAAATGGTTTTCAGCATCTCTGACCTGCTGTAAGCCAGGCTGTGCTCTGCACCAGAGAGTGCAGAAAGATCCCTGTGCTCGCCTCTTTCTTTCTTTCTTGACACCTGATTCCAAGTTTCTGCAACATTTGCCAGGATGAATTTCCTTTTCTTTGTGGAACTGACTTTAGCCTGGATCATGTACAGCTAAGCTCCAGCTTCCCTTATCAGGTCAGCACATTTCTTGACAAAATCAGTTTTGGAAAAATATTAATATGCATTTCACAGATTTTATACTGTTCTCACTGAATTTAGAGACAATATTTTCAGTGAACTGAGTGAAGACAGTGCTGCACTTAAAATAAGCAACATCATCCTTCTCAAAAATCAAATCCAGGAAAAAAAATGTGCATAGAGAGAAAGCCTGTAGTTTGACATGCCTGAGAGAAAGACAAGAAGACATTTTCCAGTAATTGTTTTTTTCAATTTCTGTCAATTCATTCTTTTTTTTCCCCATTTGCAGTACCTTTTGCTTTTCAGAAAATGTCAAGGAGAAAACTAATTTTCATCCCTCCCTATCTCATGATATTATAAGCATAAAGATTATGATGTAAAACCTAATACATAAACCTCCTGGAGAACTGGCTTATTTTGAAAATTGTTCCCAGGTGTCTTGTGTCTCTTTCTTGCTCAAAGATTATACTATTAGCATTTTAATGTCCCACAACTTCTTGTCCAGTTCCCTAGGAGGATATGAAAATGAAGCCATACAAGCTAAGCTGTTTGGTATTTATCACACACACTCTGATTGTATTTCAGAGCTCTGGGATTTAAACAGGACGTCAGTCTTTCGTAGCCCGTTTGGATATCTCGGTCTTCACATAATGCTGCTGGATGAGTATCAAGAGCGACTGTTTGTGGGAGGAAGAGACCTCTTGTATTCCCTCAGTTTGGATCGAATCAGCAACAACTACCGAGAGGTGGAGTAAAAAGCTATATATTTCAGTCACTTCATTTCATAATGTGTAGTTACAGAATATCAGAGTTTGCATGACTGGAAATGAGGTAATGGAATTTTTGTAGATGTTTCGTGCACGAACTTCAAGGTCATGTTGTACTTAAGAAGAATACACTAATTACTCTTTTTTCCCCAATTATAACCCGTAAGGCTCATTGTAGGTGAAGAGACTTGGGGGTCATATAGCTGTTTCTCTCTGAATTTCAGCATGATTATGGAATGTTTAGAGCATCTCATGTTTGTAGACGCCTGATTTCTGTATTTCTGCTATACTACCATGGAATAAAATCTCCCTGGTATTTTTTGGGAACTTATCACATCAGAAGAGAAAATGTTCAGGAAAAAAAATTATCATGCAAACTATAAGAAGTTTTCAGCAGCAGCATAAACCATGCAGCTATTTTTTAGTCTTCTTTAGAAACTGGATTTTTCATTGGTTTGAGCCAGAAGTGCTATTAAGTGATGACTGAAAGTGGCATTTGAAGCCAACTCAGTGGTCTGTGGGAGAAAGGTGGTTTAAGTCATAATCCTACCAGAGAGCTCAGTACATCGTAGAAACCACAACTGACTGGCAAACTGACAGCTGAAGTGGAGAGGCTGGAGTTTGAGCTGATGTGAGCCTTGGCTTCCTTCCTTACTTCTGCCCTCGGAAGCTAGGATTGGAAACATACAGTAGCAAAGGAAGCTGGCAGGAGCATTGTTCCTGCCTCAACCATCTTGACTGTGAATAAAGGATCTCTTGAAATATTTTAGTGTTTTCCTCATCTACTATTTTTAACTTTCCCAATGAGTTTTGATATATTTTCATTTATTTGCAAATTAACAAAAGGACAAAAAAGTGATTAAAATAAAGTTCCTCTGGGGAAATATTTTTCTTGATGTTTATACTGCACTGATCTCTGATGATGATTTTTTTTTTCCCTGCCCCTTATTTTAAGTGAATTTCACTATTCTCATGCCAACACTCTGACCAACTCTACCACAAGCAACATTGCTTATCTGCAAACATAATTAACATGATCCACTACTGTGAACTGATATAATATGCTTTATTCTTGTATAAACATTTGGGAATGTCAGTCCTAGATATGAGGATATCGATGTACTCAGGGAGGCCACTTGAGAATTTATCTGCATTTTAAAAATATAATAATTTAACTCCTCAGAGAGCAGTGTTACATACTGAGCTTTGTTCCTCGACAGCAAGATATGAGTTAACTCTTTTTCCATTTAATACAACTTATTAATATTCTGTGACAAGATGATAGAGCTCAGGGATATGAAAACATTTAGAAAGCAGTTGTTTCTTTCTTCTTCTCCTTTTGGCAGTAAATCTGTGAGGAAAGATGACAGGATAGAGCACCTAACACTTCTGTCCAACCACCACTGTCCCATCTGGACACAATTGAAGTTTATTCCTCTCCTTCTTGTTGTTTTGAGGCGGGATATCAACCATTTACTCTGAAACTATATTCTCTGTCGGGAGATCTGTATAGAGAGTATGACAAATTGATGAAAGCTCTTCTTGCCTGATTTTATGAAGTGCAAAAGATGAGAAACTGGAATAAATGAAGCTTGGCCTGGCATGTTTGGAAACATGACCTCACTGAGACCTAGCTGCCTTGACTATAAATGTCATGATCTTTTTCTCTTTTCCCAGTGTTCACTCAGTGCAGATCTCATTCAAGGACAGATAGGGAAAATGTGATTCTCCTACAGGACTATCAGGAAAAGTGTGGAATGAGACACTTCTGTTATAGTAAAGCTTAATTACTGAGATATGTCGGGGAAATTTCTTGGAACTGAGAGGAATTATTACCACAGTTCTTAATGAATCTATCTTTAACTGTGTCTTGGTTAGTCTTTGACCTTTTCTTTCAGACTGAAGACTTTAGTTTAATTAATCTAAAACAGCAGTTATAATCCAGTGAAAGTATATGAGTGCAGGCAAGTTCTTGGGGTTTATTCTCTCTGGTAACCAGGATGAGTCACTAGCTGCAAAAGAGATGTTTCATAAAGTTGGTAGTTTTGGACAGATTCATATATATCTTCATCTTCTATGTTCTAGAGAACAGTTCATATCTTTTAATTCATTGATCATCCCTTTCTCCACGATTTGGAATATGAGTATGCTTTCTAAAAACCAAAATGAAATCCATTCTCAATTAGAGATTTATGCCTTCTGCTATAAAAAACCTAAATAATTCAGTTCTAGTCAGCATAGGAGAAGTTATACCAAAGAAAAACAACTAAATGCTGCATGGACATAAAATGCTTTTGCATTGAGACCTGTTGACTGCCAAAGTAATCCAACAATTCCAAAAAAACTTGTGATGCATATGAGGTATGCATCCTATAAATCTGCGTTTAACAGTTTACATGTTTTTTTAAGGTTCAATTCTCCTCAAGTTTCCAATACAAGGCAGCACTATGAAGGGTAGATTATAGCTTTATCATGTAAGCTATTAACTGTTTATATAAATATCTACTAAATTATTTTAGGCATATTTTATCCTGACCACTTTTCATATTCAATAAAGATACCTAAAAAAATGGGAAAAAACTTTCAGGGAAGAATACTACAACTATTATTTTTGCACTGTTGGGAAAATCCAGAATTTCAGGTTGAGCTCTCAGCTGTGGCACAGACCTTCCATGTTGTCTTGGACAAGGACAGAATCTCACTTCTCTAATTGTCAAATTATGTTTCTTTTGACTACTTGCTTTTTGTTTACTCTTTGTAAATTTAATACATGAAGTATGTATTATTTTCTTAATTAGAGTATTTAACATATATTACTGTAAGTTTTTGAAACAGTTACGAAGACATTTTGGTTTCTGTATGAAGAGTGCCCTAACAGTAACAGCGGCAAAAATAAAGGAGAATATGAAATGTGAATATCAGTGTTTACAGAGAATTAGAGCCATATAAGCACTTGAAACCTTGTGTAAAGCCAAAGCTTTGTAGGCACACTTCAAGTAACCTTTGCTTTCCTTAAGAGCTCATTCCCTTTGACACTGCCTTTGGAATCAAACCTTACACATATTTGGGATTTGATCCAAAGTCTTTAAGGCTTGTGGTGATCTAACAGACTGATAGAGAACTTTCTCTGGTGCCAAATTTGTTTTTAAAAGCACTTCAATTTATTGTAATTGGTGCCAGAGTGGATCTTTGTTGAACAGCAAGATTGAACAAGTGCCAGCAGCTCATCACCACTGGTCTAACAGCTCATAGAGAAGGAGGACCTTTGTTCCTACTTTTCGTCACTTTGAGTGAAAATAAACTGCTCTTCGTATTTGCCCACAGTTTCCTTACAGATAGTCTTTCTTCCTAGCTTGTGCTTCAAGGGCCTTATGAAGATCTTGCTCTGAAAAGAAACCTTTTTGCTTTTGTAAATGGGCTTCTGAAGGCAGATTTCAATGCACTGTTTCTCATCTACTATGAGATAGCTCCAGATTAGGACTTATGTCTCTGCTCCTATAAACTATAGAGCTCTCATCACAGATCCTGACTATAGTGAAGATCTATTTCCACTCCAGAGCTGACTGAACACAGAACAAGACTGCAAGAGGACGGCTTGCTTATATCCTCTTTAAATACTGTGTAGGAATATGCATAAACTCAAATGGAACTAAGAAGCACAAAATTTACTGATAAATTTGAATATTCCTTGGAATTACCTCCCAAGAGGGAAGGTGGTTATTTATTTTTTGATAAATCCAGTCGGCACTGGATAGTTTTACAGAATTTGTGCTGTAGCAAAATACAAGTTATCTGTTAATTAAGCACTATTTATTGATTTAAATCAGTGACAGGATGGTTGAATTGCTTAATTGCTCTGTCATATACTAGAGTTCACAGTAGATCACACAGTAGTCTATTTTGGCCTGAAGCGCTATAAAGCTCATATAATTCTTTAAATTAGTTTTCTTTGGAGATGCCATCCTGCTTTTTAAGGCTAGTGGCTGAATAAAGAAGCTGTTTGGAGACACTAATTAGCATTCCAGTTCCAATTAAAGTTTTCCCCATAGCTACACTAACACATAATTCCATTTTTTCCTCATGAGGAATATATTTAAAAGTACCTTTTTCCTGTCTTTTAAATACATTGCTAAAATTATAACACCAAGGCCCCAAGGATGATAATACTATGCTGCAAGATGAGAAAACATCACAAAGCAGGCAATTTAAAAATTTAATGCACGATAACCTGAAAGGGTGAAAAATTTTGAAAAATTAGTCCAAACCCATAGTTATATGAAACTTGCAGCCCAGTGAAATGTATGGTAGTGTGGTGCTATTCCAGTCTATATACCCAGGCAGATTTCCCAAAAATAGTTATTGACAACTTGCCAAAAATTGTAACCCTAGCACAGAATTAATTCAGAATTAAAGCTGGTAGTTGCCATAACTCTAAACATAAACATCAGGCAAAATAATACAGAGTAGGTTAAAGGCTATTATTGCAGCTGATTAATATCTGGATTTTCATGCAGTGCAAACACATCCTATGTTATGTCAATTTGAAATTTGGTATGACAGCAAAATCTGACATGCTGAGATTTTTTTTAATCTCAGTTCCAAAATACTCTTGAAGAGATTAAAATCTTAGTGTTTATTTATGTTAAGACTCATAAGAGTTACGAGTCTTAAAAAATAAGATAGAGAAGCTTCTTCAGGAGACTCATACCTACTATTAAAGTACTTCAGCCAACTAACATGGACTTGCCTCAGAAGGAGATAACATGCTATGAGGATATAGGATAAATTGTTATGCTATTGCAGAATCTCTGATTCTGCCAGCCTTCTGTTTTCAAGCCCTAGGCTTCTAGGATTTATAATTTATCCCCACTTGTCTTGCAATTTACTTTTCTCAGATTTTCTCAGATTAAATTATTTCAAGAAACCCAATTCAATTTAAAAAAATAAAAAAAAAGGAAAAAAAAACCAGCAGAATAACTTAATTTTAGTGTTTTTCATACAGAAAAATAATTTTTCATTGGATTATTGACAAAAATGTCTTAATGATGACATAATTTTTTTAATATTTACTCGATTTCAGCCAAGTCTAATATCACTGATGTGCACACGTTTTTGTTTTCACTTTTAAATGTTCTAAGAAATTAAGTAACCATTCCAGTCTGCTCAGTCATTGTTTAATATTGTTCTCATCCAAAAAATTCATGCATCTGGAATGAAACATAAATATTATACAGTAGGTAGTTGAAGAAAATCTCACTTGTGTAATTTTGCTTCACTTCTAGTGACTGTGACTGTGAAGAGTGGATGCTACTCCCATGAGGTTAATTGCTGACCCTCATTAACTTCACTTTAACCCTTTTCTTTCCTAAGTGTCACTTAAAGCAGAAAATCAGTAGTTCCAAATTAATATTCTATGTTGAAAATCACTGAAAATTAATCTGAATTTATATTAAATGTTCCATACATTAGCTCCCTTTTAATTCTGCTGACTGGTATTAAGTTTCCCAAGCCACCATAATCAAAACAGTTACGTTTGAACAAAGGAAAGACTGAAGGTCTTTTCTCTATGGGGAAGTCAAGGTTTAGGGGGGAACTCAATGAAGTATTCCAGTACTTAAGTATTTAAACACCATCTCGAAGAGGACAGAGGTTCTCCTTCCAAAAGGATCCTCATGGAGAAGACAAGGGACAATGGGTACAAGCTGCACCAACAGATAACAAAGAAACTTTTTAGTGAGAAAATTCAATCACTGCAACAACCGCCCCAGGAATATGGTGGAGTTTCTGCCACTGAAGGGTTTAAAGATGTGTGAAACAGAGTGCTAGATAATCTCATCTAGGCTCCCTTTCCCACAAAAGGCTGGACCAGGTGATCTTTTGTGGTCCCTTCCAACTGGAGCTGTTCTATGATTTTAGACTTCTGTTCTGCAAATCCTTCTCATGAAGAATAGTGGAAGAGCTGGATTGACATGATCAGACTGCAAATTGAATTATTTTCTTTTTTTCCCCTCTCAGATCCATTGGCCTAGTACACCTCAGCAGGCAGAAGAATGCATAATTAAAGGAAGAGATGCTGTAAGTATCATTATTAAAAATAAAATATACTTTAATTATACCAGTGGCTAGTCCAAAACAAGGATTCGGGCACCCCTAACTTCAGAGAGATTAAAGCACAGATATAATTCTAAGTGTTGTAGGTTAAAAGCATCTAACTACTCTCAACACACTAAATTTATTGGTTTAATTGCTCTTCAAACCCACTCATAAACACACAATGAACACTTTTGATCATCTGAACTTTCTTCTGATTCTTTTTCTTGGACTCTTAAAGAAGATGCCTTAATAATTCTCCTTTTCCATTTCTGTTTCTTTTTCTTGTCATACACATAGGATACCTTCTCCGTTTCACATTCCAGTTTATGTTTAAAGTTCTCATTTTCTTGAATACTTTTGGAAAAACAGTTAAATTATTAGTAATTATAGAATGCCCTCTAAGTTTTTTTGCCCTATAAGTTTCACGGTATATTAATAAAAATATTCTGTTTTAATGAGCCTCAGAACTGTTCTATTCTTTTGATTCAGTGCCTTGACTGTAATCAGTTCATGGGAAAAGACCTGAAAGCTCACTGACATACAGCAGCTGATAACACTGGCAGCACAGGATGAAAGTTCTTCTGGATGGGAGCTCTCTTTAATTTTACAGTGCACCAAGCTCATTATCTGCACCTCATAAACACACAGCGAGTACAACACCTAATAAATCCCACAGCTGAGAGAGCTCACACTGTACCAAAGGATTTGAAAATGATGATAGTTTTACGGCAACAGTGACAGGAATGTAGGACATGGAAGGGCACATACAAGCTTTTCCCACAAACACAACAAACAGCAGCCTTGGTGATAACCACAATATATTCCAGTAAGATTAAGAAGTTATAAAGATTTTTGCTGCAATACAAGCATGAGAGCTGTCCATATTAAGGAAATCAGTGAACAAGATTGGAAAATAATAATAATAATTAATAATAATAAAAAATAAATAATTCCAGCTTCTTAAACTCATCTGGCCTAGAACTGATCCTTTTTGAAGACTCTTAAAAGTTTATTGCAGTTTTTTCTGGATATTTATCTACCTTTTACAATTTTAGGTGACTTTGATTGAAAATAGTAATTTTCTACATTACCCAAACCTTATGGTTATATTAAATGAATCTGAAACCCCAATTATATGAGCTATATTTAATACCATCCCTCAGCATAAGCTGTTATTAGTTAGAGCTCTGTCATCTTTCTTTCACCTCTACATGATGGGATATATTTTCTAATACTTTTACAATATTCTTTAGGTTAAATTAATGCAGAAATAGGTACTGTTATTTCAATGCAAAGATATTCCCCTCGGAGTCATGAGTTTCCCTAAAACTCCAAAGTTCTGTAATCCAGTTTGTTATTATAAGTCTTCAAATTTGCATTGTAGTGAAAGTGGTCATTTAAAGATCTTCTTATGTTTCCCACATCTCTCTGCACTCTGAAAGTTTGGTAAAACTATTACTTTTATAGAAAATCCAGATCTTTAAAAGAAAGTGGAGTTGTCAATAAAAATATGTTAAAATTTTTAAAGCTGGAAATATTTTAATACCACATGCTATTCTGATCCTCCTATAAGACCTAATCATGTATGGACTATATGAAGGAGTAAGACTAATTAATATCAGGGAAACCTTGGTAATTTTCATCAATATGCTCAGTATTCATTAAGATAGATTGCTCAGCATTCATTAAGATAGATTCCTCAGCCTGAAATCTAAATTTGAATCAAAAACTTTCCTACTAAGTTTCTTCTCATCTTCATTTTTTTGTAACCATAAACCAATATTGACTTAATAGCATAATATCTTTAAATTAACACTTTCTCAGTTCTAACTTCTGGATGTTACTTTTTACACTGTAAAGTCTCATAAAAATATTACTCATTGTTATTTTAAACTTTTTTTCTTATTTCCATTCTGTTTCTTTTTTTTTTCCTTTGTAAAAGATCTGTTACTCAAGGCATAATTTAGTTGAGTAGAACTGATAATATTGTAATCAGCATTAAAATACTTCGTGCATACTCTGCTACCTCTTTCTATATAACAGAACAGGCCAGTTTTATGAGTTTTACAACCTTTAAAACTTATCAGTTCATGTTGTAGCAGTAAAACTGCAAGTATTGTATCAATAAACACACTTTCAGAGGTTGTAACAGAGTTGATAGGACAGTTAAAAAAGCCTTGTCTTAACAACACGTGCAGAATCTTAAAACCTGGCCATGCTTTTCTTATTTGTGTGAAGTCAAGGAAAAAAATCCTTCAGCTGTCATCCAGTGTGCCAGGAATCACACCTGTTAGCCTGTGGTGTAAGAGCATTCCATTCTTTCAATTACTTTATCAGAACTGGAAATCATTCAGATAAAGAAATCAAATTCTGGAGAGATGACTAACTCCTCCACATGGAGAAGTTTCAGATGAATAAAATTCCACAGATCTATTAATTTGGAGCATCCTGAAGACAACCCCAGTGTTTAATTAATTAATATAGTAGAAAGAACTCTTATTTTAATGTCCCTTTCGATGATGCATCTCTTCCTTGCTGTGTGATTAGTAGGGTCAGCAGCAATGCCTAGCTGCCTGACACTTCCCAGAACAGCACCTTTTGTCATGTGTTTATAAATGATCAAGTCTAGACATTTGGAATTACTTCTTTTCTATATTTGGTATCTTCCTTATCCTGTTTCTTTCTGCAGAATTTTTCCGACATTTCTATAAATGCACACAAAATAAAAAAATGTGTAGCCTTTGGCCATTTAAAAAAAAAAATCCTAAATCAATATAGTGATTTTGGCAGAATGATCAAGATCTGCAGGCATATGTGGATAAAAAAGGAAACCATAGAGTAAAGAACAGACCACCACTGAGAGCGAACAGAGGGAATAAGTCAGAAAGGTTATACTTGGAGGAGAGGGAGAATAAGGAACAGCATCAGTGCCCAGTGAAGCATCATTTAAAAACTGCAAGGTTTCATAAAATTCCTATGGAATACCATTTCGCTACCACCAGTCAGCAAATATTGTGAAATGATCATGCTCTGTTGTTGAGTGCTGATCCATGTATAGAGAATCACATCCCACTGATTTCAACCCATTCTTCTCCTTCTTAAAAAAAAAGAACAAATTTGTTTCAAATCAAAAAAGTCCAAAAGTAAAATATTGCAAGGTTGATTTTGTATGCATAATATTGAATTGCACAACAAGTTACCTGGCTGTGTAAGTTATCTACTTCTTTCAATTAGCATGATATATCTTCATGGTGGATGTTAAGGAGAATCATGTAACAAATAAGATTTTTTTCCCTTATTTGTTTGCTAGAGCACTTGGAAGACTTGAACTGAATGACATAAGCATTTGAAGAAAGAAGAAAGATGATTTCTTAGTTTTGAACCTAATGTGAATTTACGAGTGTTGAATTCTGCCCAGGAGTCCACTCCAGACTCATATTTTCTGTTCTTGCAGCTGGTTAATAAGACCCAGGATTGTTCTCAGAAAAAAAATCCAGCAGTCTGAAAACTAGAATAGTCATCAGTGAAGAACAGCAAATTTTCAAAAGGGAAATTCTTCCACTCTGTTTTACACATTCATTTTAGGATTGTATTATTGCCTTTTGGAGATGTCTGGCCTTCTTCATTGAAAAGGCCTAGGAGAATAGCATAAATTACATGTCTAAATTCTAGAGGAGCTAAAGTTATCTAAAATTAATTCCATTTTAATAGTCTTAAATTTTATGTGACTATCTTAAAACCCACTGTCTGAGTTGCAGAAATGTTGAGCAATGAATGGAAATGAGCAGGATTTTGCTCCCAACATAGAAATCATTGCAAAATGTAAAATACTCTGTAAAACCAAGCCCCAGGAGTCCCAAAATCAATGGATACTTTTATCTCACTGTCTCCATTTCTAGTTTAGTACAGCAAAAATAATGACCCCACATCTCAAAGGGATGTTTGAAAATGTTTTAATTGTAATATTTATGAAGCTGCAAATACACTAATGAGTCCCAGAGTACTGCCCTGTGGGAAACGAATATTTCTTCTTCAAAGGAGAGTTTAAACAGTGGCAACAGATAAAGTATGAGGCCATACAATATAAAAAAATATTGATTAGCAATTAATTATGCAAGAAATTAATGGTGCAGTGGTTTTATTAATAAAAAAGTAAGAAAAATGTTATTTTTCTTGTGATAAAGTTTATTAAACATGAGAGAGAATCCATTTGCTGACTGTTCACATCTTCTGCTCTGATTCTAATGTCTAGTATATCTATCTAATAATAATACTTAGTAAAACTAATATTTAGACTTTCAGAATATCTCTGAGATTAAAGAAGCGTGAAAGTGTGTTTTATAACTTTGTAACTCCTAACTGGTTAAGCATCTAAAGTAAATTATAATAAATCAGTGCTCTAAACTTGCTTTTTTCCTGTAAAAATGTCCATCTGAGAAACTGGTGGCACAGAGTTACTGGCATGAAGCAAAATAAAATAAAAAGATTCAATACCAGAACATCACCAAAGGACACATAAGGTATAAAAAAAAATTAAAAAGGTAATATTTTCCTGTGTTTATTTTTCATATAATCTAGGATGAATGTGCAAATTACATCCGTGTCCTTCACCGATATAACAGAACGCATCTTCTGGCTTGTGGAACGGGAGCTTTTGATCCCCTCTGTACTTTTATAAGAGCTGGACATCCATCAGAGGTAAGAAATTTGGATCACAGTATTTACTCTTTTGTTCTGGATTCCAGCAAAGCCTTTAGGGTTAAAAGTAAGTATTTAAATTCAATTGCTAACAGTTCTCATACAAACAATACAGTAGATATTTTCACTGATGAAATTTAATGCTGGTCTAAAATTTAGTTTGTGCCTAGAGGAACACACTGATATTTGAAAGCATATTCTGGAGAATTATACAAAGAATTCAAAGACTTTTTCATCTTGTGATTTTTTTTTTTTTAATTAGATAAAGTGGTATAGAAATTCTTAGGAAAATAATAAATATTTTTAGGGTTTTTAAATCTGTGGAGGTTTTGGTTTTTGGTTTTGTGGTTTTTTTTAATGAAATAATGCATCATACATCAAAATATGTATTAGTTTAATGGGAGATGGAACTCTTTAACAAATCTTTGTTAAATTCAGCCTATGTTGGTCCTGTTCAGCAAGTGCATGTTAGCTCCTTAATGATGTTTATAGCTGAGTGAAATAGTACTGCAAAGAAGATCAATAAGTGGAACATATAATCAATATTGTGAATGTATTTCTTATTTAAAGATAGAAATTGTTTAGATTTTTTAGAAATTGGGATTCTTCTGTCTCAGTTATATGTCTCAGCAGAAATACCAATCTCTTATTTTAAATTCTTGTGAAAAACTCCTTGGGCATTAAACCTAATCCTGATGATATGCAACCTATATGTTGCTACATGGAAGCCAAATGCTGACTGGCTGATCCTGGTTACATCCTGCTTCCTTTCAGCCTTGTTTCATTGCACTCCCATTGCCAGTTTTAAAAACATACAAAGTTTAGGAATATATTTCAAATTTTTGACATGAGTTAAAAACTTTTAGAAAGGCTGTATTTCTACAACTGTTATGATATTTGAATTTGTGGACAAATTATAAATTACATTGCTAGATCTGGACCTTGAATGTCTAGACTTAGTGAAAACTGGACACTGAAAGTTATCCCTTGTCATACATTTAGCAATGCTGAAGAAATAATTACTTCAGTTATAAGGTAAAACCACTTTTAATGAATTGCACTGCTATCCAAGCTGCCCTGCAGTCAGAAGAGGATTTCACTTGGCTATTAAAGGCACATGTGATGACCACTTTAAGAATCTGACTAGGGATTCTTGGAAATGCACTTTGTGAGGTGGGACTTGATAGATAGAGATGATCTGTAGCCCAAATGTAAGATTGTTTTTAACTGCCAGGAAGAGTTGCTGGTCAATGGTCTTGCTTACTTGGTTCACATAATGTGTCCTGATAGAGCTAAGCACTTACGGTGCTGAAGCCAAAGGACCCCCCAAGAGATTCTTGCTTTCCCTTATGTCCAGGAGCTCTTGGCTCAAATAAATATGAATTGCAGATATAAAGCTTTTTAAAGTGTACTCAAATAAATCAACTATGGTATTTACTTCAGTAAAATGTTTTTGAATAATCTTTCCTGAGTGAAGATGCATCCTTCTGAAAAAACAAACTAGAAAATAACCAGAAACAATCTCCAAGGATCCAGTCCATGCTGTGCACTTCCAACTGCTGTCAAAATGAAAAGCATCTCAGAGGTTAAGACTCCAGCACAATACTTAGATTTGCCATTGTATGAATTGCAGAAACCTACTATCTTCTGAAATTAAGGAAAGAAGCAAATATTAAGCGATGTTAAAACAAGGCAACTTTGAATGTCTTCTTTGCTCCTCTCATGAACCTCCTGTCAGGCTTCCTGGGAAAGTTTTAAGGAAGTAGTGTCTGTATATTTAGGAACACTATTTTAGAAAGCATAAACAACAGACTAATTAAAATAGAAACCAAACAAACAAAGAATGAGAAACAAGACGTATATAAGAATGTGTGGCCTGTGATCATCCCCTTATCTATCACTGTCCTTCCTTCCCTTATTTTTGTTTGTTATTCTCTCTTGTCAAACTGAGGTTCTAAAATTTTACCCACACTGAAATCATGGGAAAATTACCATTATTTTTTTTTTGTGTAGACCATCAGGAAATATATTTGTTACACTAATAAGTAACTCTATTAGTTTCCATTATCTGAAAAACTGAGCATCAGGATTAAAAAAGACAGGTGCCATTTGTATGGTAGGTTAAAAATAGCACATGGTATGTGTTTGAGCAGGTAAATTGTAATCTTGCTTTCTTTGATAAGGACATCATGCAACTGCAGGAAATGAAAGGAGAAGATCCTTCCTCAGAAAACTGAAGTTCAGTCTCTGTTGATCTCCCTGATCAGAGAATCGTCATCCAATGACTTCCCATTACTGTACCCTATTACTTCCACCTCATCTCTCTGGCCATTTTCTCACTTTCTGACTGTCACAGAAAAGAGAGTAGCAAATAAAACAGTCCTAAAAATATTAATTATACTATAGTAATCAATTTATAAACAGGACAACACCATCTTTGTTTAAAAACTAGTAAAACATTTAAATTGAAGAGTAAACACTGATTAATAATATGAATTTATATTCAATTCAATGCAATTCATAATAACAATACTTTACTGTGGCAGTGGCGAGGCACTGGAATGGGTTTCCTGGAGAAGCTGTGGATGCCCCATGCCTGGAAGTGTTCAAGGCCAGGTTGGATGAAGCTCTGAGCAACCCAGTCTAGTGAAATGTGTCCCTGCCCATGGCAGAGGGATTGGAAGGAGATGATCTTTAAGGTCTCTTCTAACCCAAATGATTTTATGATTCTATAATATGCAGCTGTCTGTAAGGAACATTTTTCAAATGTTGACATTTTTTTGTAAAATATATTGAACTTTGGGATAAGTGAAATTTATCTTTGATCTGCAAACTAAATTGCTTCTGAACAGGATCTCTTTAAGTAGCACAAGGTATATTTGAAGCTTATACACATTTGAACAATGACACTTTTCAGACATATTGAGGTATAAAGTGTGGGAGGTAAAAAGGGGGGGAGCCCTTATAACAGACTTATGTGTGTCCAGACACCCAGCTAACCCAGCATATGGAGCTAGATTCACACTTCCATATGGAACTATGAATCAACAGTATCAACATAGAGAAATACTCGCTCTGTGGTCAGGGAGCTAAACTATAAGTTTCAATAGCACTTCCTGAGCCGATGGCAGAGAGAGGATGTGACCCTCTCAGTAAAAACTGCAGGGTTCTTAAGTTACAAACTATATATAAATACAAATTAGAGATTATTTTAGAGAGATATTTAAGCACATGATAGAATAGCAGAATTGTATTTTCTGCAATATTACATGTTCCAATTTACTGATCAGGTCAAAGAGAAGCAATCTTTTGGAACTCACTGTCCAGTTAAGGTTCTTGACCTCGGTGATCCCTAGTCCAATTTTGCAGAGATACTTATTTTGTTGTTGACTTGCAACAAAAGTTTACATAAAGTCATCCATTTCTGAATAGCCATTTGGTAAGAAAATGAAGCATTGCTGAATTTACTTTGAACAGTGAAAATATCCTAAAGCCATGATCAGAATCATACTGTATGACATTCTGATTCTGTATTTAGCATGGTTTTGTGAGGCGTAATACAGTTTATGAAAAGGAGCATTCAGGCTCCTGTATAATGTCTTACATTCTTATGCAACCACAAATTCATATTTTCATATCAAAACTAGGTTTAAGTTGTGTCTTGCGGAACACTGAGCTCTTGTCAACAAATCATGAAGTCAAAAGGAGATTTTTGTCTCCAAAAATAGGCGGAATTTGATTGCCCCATTGGCAGATCATTACTTCTTGGAACTACCTGAAAACCAGAACCTCTTATGTTCACAAAAAAACACTGTAAAAGTATCCATTCCCCAACCAGTCTCTGTAGAAAATATTAATCTTACCATGCAGTGATTGAAATGTGTTTTGAAATCTTTCATATGCACATTGTGCTACAATATATTATACTGGTTCAATTGCTCCTTTTGTACTTTTCATGGTTTATAAAAATTTAATGGCACTATGCATTTTGTCTTAATATGTTAATCATAGAAAACAATAAGAAATAAATATTGGTTTTATTAAATTCTACATCAAGCTTTACAGAATCACAGAAAACACTGAGTTGAAAGGGACCCACAAGGATCATCAAGTCCAACTCTTAGCCCTGTGTAGGACCATCCCCAAGAGTCGCACCCTGTGCCTGAGAGCGTTGTCCAAACACTTCCTGAACTCTGTCAGGTTTGGTGCTGTGACCACCTCCCTGGGGAGCCTCTTCCAGTGCCCAGCTACCCTCTGGGTGAAGAACCTTTTCCTAACATACAACCTAAACATCTCCAACACAACTTCAGATCATTCCCTTGGTCCTGTCACTGGTCACCACAGAGGAAAGATCAGTGCCTGCCCCTCCTCTTCCCTTTGCAGGGAAGTTGTAACTGCAATGAGGTCTCCCCTCAGTCTCCTCCAGGCTGAACAAACAAAGCACCCTCAGCCACCCCTCACAAGCTTCCCTTCAAAGCACTTCACTATCCTCATTGCCTTCCTTTGGACATCCTTTAATAGCTTAGTATTTTTCTTAAATTGTGTTGACCAAAACAATAAACTCATGTTGTACCACCACAGTATAAACAAATATATTTATCTAAATCAAATTACTTATAAATTCTGTGATACACTATCCATTTGAAAGATTAAATATATAATGATTTACTGCAGTCATTCTGTTGCAATATTGGTTTAATTGATGTAGCTTTGGAACTTCATGCTGTTCTCTTTTGTAAAGCTGTTGTCAGCTCTCTTTCTAAAAATATGCAAGTATAGTCACTGACAGCAGCTTTTTATCTTTTTCCCTGTTTCTAATTCATTTGACCCTGATGAAAATTTCTTTCTCAAATTTAAACATTTCAGCAAAATACCCAATTTTTTTTTTTTGCCATTTAGAAATAAATTACAAATTAGGAAAAATAGGAGTGCTGACTTTACAAACTGAACTATTGTTGTTTGAAAAAGACATGTTACAAAATTTTGTCCAAGAAAACATG